GTGTATGCAGTTTTACTAGCTACTGAAAGCATAGCCACTACAGTTGCTGTCCTAGTGCAAACTGTCTACCCTATAGCTGGGTGGGTACAGGATTGGGCAACAAAGCCCCACAGTGGTACTGCTCAGATGCTCACTTTAGCAAAGTAGGGGGGCATATATACAACAGCACTGCACTGTCAATTATCCCCTTACAGGTGGAGTTGAAACATGTCCTTAGTGCAGTGACATATGTCAACATGGAATTGACTTCAGAGGCCTGCATAGAAGCCATGCCAGAGGCCAGTCCCTACAAGGAGGGCACCAATCCAAGCAGAGACCTGGTACAAGTATGGTCCCAGCCTGGCCATTCAGCATCATGGAAGCTGTGGCTGTACACCCAGAAACAGACACCATTTGATTTGAAATGGGACAAGACAGGGCAGCCAATGGGCTGAACGATGAACAGGTCACCCATGAGCCTTCCCCAGTGGGAAAGTTGGACTGTGTACAGGGACTTGACCCTGTGGATTTCCATGTGGAACACATCAGCTGCTGTGTGGCCAGGACTATGGAAAGATCTATGGGACCTGGGCTATCAGAAACAGGTAACCATTGACTATATCACAGGGCATGCCTCATTGGCCTCACTAAGGCAATGATGAAGCTGACACCCTGGCCCAGGTGTGGTGGCTTAAAGCTGCTCTTGGGTGGGATGTTGCACAGTGGCTGCACAAATGCTTGCTCCATGCTGGGTGAAAGACAACGTGGCCCACCGTGCTTACCTGGGGCTTACTTATGACTTTAAAGGAGATTCAGACTGTGAACGATGTGTAGAGTTCCAGGACTCAAACTCCACAAAAATTTTGCTTTTACGGGCCAGGAGTTATGGGGGTAGTACACAGGACACACTTGCAGATTGACATCATTGGACGGTTACACCACTCTGATGGAGACCAGTATGCGGCCACCTGTGTGGACACAGCTACTGGTCTATTAGGAGCTTATCCTGCTTGACACATGGACCAAGAGGAAGTTTTGGCAGCACTGATACCTAAGTGCTGCATATGGACATCCGGGTGTTGGAGAGCGACCAAAGAACCCATTTTGCAGCTACCTTGTGGAGCAGTGGGCCACAGACATCAGTGTTGCATGGAAATTCTATGCACTATAAATTGAAGGCTGCTGGCATCATAGAGCACTACAACAACCTGCTGAAACAAGGACTCCCATGTAGGATGGGTGATGGGAAGGAGAGTCTCCTGGGGAGTTAAGTTTCAAGGATAATTTGGTGAGATATTTTTTAGGGTATGGTTTGTAAATCATTCTACCTTCCCAAAGCATTGGGGCCTGTAGGGGATGTGGAATTTCCAGGGAATCTGGGGAAAGGAAGCTGGAGTCTGAGTGATGGCAGAGGTGAATTCTGGTCCATTGTCCTATTGTAAAGTAGTGGGGATCCTGAAACAGGGAATTATTTCAGTCATAAGATCATTGTGACTATTGAGGCCTGCTTGTTTTGGTGGGGAAGACTTCAGCTCATCCTGTAAATGTGTCCAGGAGAACCAAGAGGTATTTGTGTCTATGTACTGGGGGCATGTGAATAAAGTCAAGTAAAGTCTAGTTGCCACAGCAGGCAAAGAGCCCCTGGCCAGGTGGGTGGGAAAGGGTGGGGAGACTCAGATTGGTATGGGGTTGGTCTGATTACAGATCTGGCAGTCTTGGGATAGGGACTGGAGGTCCTGGGCCTGCTGTGGTGTGAGAGTGACAAACTGTTTGAGGAAAGTTTGGAGGGTTTGGATGTGTGGGTGGAAAAGGAGTGTAAGTAGTGGAGGAGGGACTGAGTGAGGTGTTCGGGGAGCGTGGTCCTGGTTGGGTTTGTGGCCATGTCCTGGCATTCCTCTGGATGAGGACTGGAGAAGGGGTAGGGCTCTGTGGTTTGCCTGAAGCATAGAAGCCTATTTTTCCGTGGTGTCTGCAGCATTACACATAGTGGAGATATACGATGTGTCCCTTTGTCCTTTACAATGCATGATGGCTGCTTGGGAAGGTCTGTTTGCTGCTTCCAGGAGAGAATGTATGAGATTTCCATTAGAGATGGAGGGTGTGTCTTTGTGTAAGAAACCATGCTCCCTCCATATAAGAACTTTAGATGTATAATATTTTGATGTTTGGCTAGGCACAAAGTCTCGATGATGTCGGCTTGCTGGGATGTGGTGCCGGCGCCAGTGATGAGTTTTACGGTGGGCTGTGTGTGCTCTCTTCAGAGGGTAGACTGTTAACTAGAAATACATGCTTATGTATTAGAAAGGTTACTGGGATGATAAAATGCTTTTATATCTTTTTCACCCAACATTTTAATGATCATTTATTATTTTTTAAATCCAGTATTATTAAGGATAATTAAAGCAGGTGCCAGGGACTTCAGGAGCGTTAAGGAAGTTTCCAGAAATAAGGGCAACAAATTCCGAAGGGAACTAATCAAACACCCCAGGACTAGGGACAACAAGACTTTCTGGAACAAGGATGATAAAGAAAAGTATGCTGAGATAAGGCTGGAACACAAAGACTTAGTTCTGGGCACAGAGAGGCTGAGTGAGTGATACCACTAAGAACTAACCATTCACAAAGAGACTGGTGGATCTTTAGAATAATTAGGGAAAGAAGGTCTATATTCCCTTAGACACAACTCTACTTCGGCTTCCTTGCTCCTCCCTGGCCTGGCTCCATTGGCCTGGGAGTCCCACTTTATTTCTGTTCCTTTTCTCCTCAGTAATTTTTTCTTTTTCTAAACAAATCTGCCTCTTTCACTTGCTGGCCTGAGACTCGGCGAAGTTCCTGCTACGGCTTTGTGAGACACCAACCTGTGGTGGTCTAGTGGCTGGGACTCAGCAGTGCCATTGCATCCTGGGATCCATTCCTGGTTGGGAGACTAGGCCTGAAACCTGAAATTATGGTATCAACTTCTAAGAGGTGGGTTAAAATCACCTTTTCTACCATCTTGACCTAATTTTCATGGCAAGGTGAGAGTAAATAACTGCAGGGAAAATGGAGTTAAAACAGGCTTTTCTTTTGCCCTTCCCCTGCTAGCCTCTATGGATACCATCTGGTCTTGCATGCCTCCCAGGTTGCTGCTCGGATTCCCTGGGTGGAGAGGCATGGGCTTGGACACCCATGATCACGGACTTGACCAGAGAGCACGGGTGTGCACATATCTAAACATGGACACCTATGCCCAGAAGCAAGGAATAAAAGGGGCTCCTCTGCTCTGGTGCTCCCAGTGGTGAGGGTGAGGCGGGTCCCTCTGAGGCTAGGGGCTCAGTTGCTGTCTCCCTGCTTGCTTGTCTGTCCTCTGATTCAGCATTAAAATAATACTGAGTACAATAATACTGACGGCTCCAAAATTCTCTCTTTTATTTTTTCCTGTGGAATTGACAGTGAACCTACCCAGTCTGGGTTGGTTGCACAACAATACCACAGGCCAATTATTTGCTTTTCTAACAACTGAATGTGGGGGGGGGGGTTTGCCACTCTGGGTTAATGGGAGAGCAGGGAAGAAAAAAAGTCAGAGTGAAGAAGAGCACACACAGGCCTATCATAAAAGCCATCACTGGCCCACCGGTGCCCAGCGGCCCAAGGTGCGGGAGATAAGCTAACTAGAGATAAACTGACAGCAGTAGATACTCCAGCAGACCCTCCTGGGGTCCTCCTGGCAGGAAAGACCCCTGCCCCTGGCAATAAATCCTAGCACATCCCCTCCTGGCAGGAGATACCCTGCCACCGCGATCCCAACGAACTCTGGCAGTAGCCTAACCCTGTAAGACACATGCTCCCATTTTGGGGCACGACTCTTGGCCTGCAGAGAGTTGTCCCCTCATGGACATTCAATAAAG